CCTCCCAGTTACTTACCGCCTCAATCTTACTCGGATCGACCTCTATCCCCTTAGCGGTGACAATGTGTCCGAGAAAGGCAACTCGATCCAACCAGAACTCGCACTTTGAAAACTTGGCATACAGTCCCTCTCGACGAAGTGTCTCTAGAACTGTACGCAGATGCTGCTCGTGCTGCTCCTCGTCTCGAGAATATATCAGAATGTCATGAATAAAGACAATGACAAACCGATCAAGGTAGGGGTGGAACACTCGATTCATGAGGTCCATGAAGACGGCTGGGGCATTGCTCAATCCGAAGGGCATGACCACAAACTCGTAATGGCCATACCGAGTTCGAAATGCGGTCTTAGAAACATCGGACTCCTTTATCTTTAGTTGATGGTAGCCAGAGCTCAAATCTATCTTCGAGAATATGCTGGCACCCCTCAACTGATCAAACAGGTCCTCGATCCTGAGCAATGGGTACTTGTTCTTCACAGTGAGTCAGTTGAGCTCTCGGTAGTCAATGCACATCCTCATCGACCCATCCTTCTTCTTCACAAAAAGGACTGGTGCTCCCCACAGTGAAACACTCGGTCGCACAAAACCGAGCTTCAACAGCTCCTAAATCTGTGTCTTCAGCTCCTGCAGCTCCTTCGGAGCCATACGGTAAGGTGTCTTCGACACAGGGCCCGCTCTCGGAACCAAGTCAATCGAGAACTCGACCTGTCTATCTGGTGGTCCTCCTGGTAGCTCGTCTGGAAACACCTCCAGATACTCACGCACAATAAGAACTCCATCCGGAGTCAACTTCTGGGTCTCGCTCACAACAATGTCCACGAGATAACCCTGGCTACCCTCCTTTTTAAGGCTCTTCATAGCTCCCAAAGTAGAGATAACCCTCGGAACTGTCCTCGATCTCGCCCCGTAGAAAGTGATGGTTTCGCCTCCTCCAAGATGAAGTGTCACCTCTCAGTCAAGGCAACGAATGTCTGCTCGGTATCTGCTCAGCCAATCCATCCCAAGTATCACGTCGAAGTCACGCATCTCGATCACGTAAGCATCGACGGTCAAGGTTCTCCCGCCTATACTAAGTCTCAGACCCTTAACGATAGAATCAGTAACTATTGACTTTCCCGAGGCCAAGCTAACCTCGAGAGCATCAACAACACTAACCCCCTCAATCCCGATTGCCTCAACACAACTCTTGGAGATAAAAGAGTGGGTTGCCCCAGTATCACATAAAGCAAACACAGGCACATCACATATATGAAGCATCCCAGACATAGTACCTTGGTTCGCATCTGCCTCACGCTGGTTCAGGGCAAACACACGGGGCTCTCCCTCCTCCTCCCTGGAT